TTTCTTTCTTTCTTTCTTTCTTTCTTTCTTTCTTTCTTTCTTTCTTTCTTTCTTTCTTCCTTTGAGCTGACAGCTCAGAGCCTGGAGCCTGCTTCAGATTCTGTGTGTCTCTCCCTGTCTCTGCCCCTTCCCCACTCATGCTCTGTCTCTGAAAAATGAATAAACGTTAAAAAATAAAATATTTTAGCATCCCTTTTATTCCTGAGGTGAAATTCATAGATATAATATCTATACTCATACTTTAAATAATTAATATAAATAAATGTGAGGGCAAATAAAAGGAAAGTAATTTCTAATAACAGGCATTTCAGTGTGTAAATTCTAGGCCAACTTCACCAGAAGACATAATAAAGAAGTAGACAGAGGCTTGTACCTATATGTAGAATTAAAATAAATGTGAAAGCTATGAATATAGGTTGATACAAAAGCAGGTTTATCGTACTGATATTATATAACTATTAACGTTAGTGCATTGCTGTTGGTACTATGGTACCAACAGAATGGTAAAATTTATTGGAGAAATTCTAAAGAACATCTTTCCTTTGATTTACATAATATTTGCATTCCTGGAAACTTCAGTATATAATTAAACTAGGCAAAAAATACTTTGTTTATATTTTAACAGGAGTAAATTTCTAGGCTCAAATAATTATAAACAGATGTTTTTCTTTTTACCTACATGAATGTCTCATAGGACAGTCAAAATCTATGCAGGATTGGGCCAGTTCTTCATTGTGTGGACTGTCCACTATAAAATGAGCTAGCATTCCTTAGCACCTTTCACTGAATATCAATAAATCCTTCCTCCCAATCACTGTTGCAACCAAAAATGATTCCCCAAATTCCCAAAGACACATATGAGGTAGTAATTTACTTTCCTATTGAGAATATTGGTATACAGTTATAAGCAAAATACATTTGCTGATAGATTCTTGAGAAGGTGAAGTAATGAAATAAAAGTGTTGAGGAATATCTGATACCTGCTTTCCACAGGTGAGGGCGAGGTAAAGAAAAAACAAAAAAGGAACTTCCTTTTACTTACTTGTTTACGGCAGTCATTTATAAAACATTTTCACATATGTCATACATCTCACATCAATTGTAAATTTAGTATCTCCACCATTTTTAAAAGTTTTTTATTTTCATTCCAGTATAGTTAATATACAGTGTATTAGTTTCTGGTGTATAATATAGTAATTCAACTATTCTATATGTTACTCAGTGCACATCGTGATAAGTGTACTCTTTAATCCCCATCACCTATTTCACCCATCTCACCACCCACCTCCTCTATGGTAACCATCAGTTTGTTCTCTAAAGCGAAGAGTCTTGATATGTCTCTCTCTTTTTTTCCCTTTGTTTGTTTTGTTTCTTAAATTCCGCATAGGAGTGAAATCATATGGTATTTGTCTTTGACTTATTTCACTTAGTATTATACTTTCTAGCTCCATCCATGTCATTGCAAATGGCATGATTCCATTCTTTTTAAGGCTAATATTCCATTGTGTATATATGCCACATCTTCTTTATCCATTCATCTATCAATGGACATTTGGGGTGCTTCCATAATTTGGCATTATATATAATGCTGCTATAAACATAAGGGTGTATATATTTTTTGAATTGGTGTTTTCATTTTCTTTAGATAAATACCCAGTAGTGCAATTATTAGATCATAGGGTAGTTCTATTTTTAATTTTTTGAGGAACCTCCATATTCTTTTCCACAATGGCTGCACCAGTTTGCATTGCCACCAACAGTGCAGGAGCATTCCTTTTCTTCATATTCTCACCAACACTTGTTGTTTCTTGTGTTTTTTATTTTAGCCATTATCACTGGTATGAGGTGGTATCTCACTGTAGTTTTGATTTGCATATCTGTGGTGAAGGGTGATGTTGAGCATCTTTTCATGTGTCTGTTGGCCATCTGGATGTCTTGTTTAGAGAAATGTCTGCTACCCATTTGTTAATTGGATTATTTGGGTTTTGGGTGTTGAGTTGTATCAGTTCTTTATATATTTTGGATACTAACCTTTTACTGGATAGGTCATTTGCAATGCAAATATCTTCTCTCATTCAGTACACTGTCTTTTAGTTTTGTTGGTTGTTTCCTTTGCTGTACACAAGCTCTTAATTTTGATGTAATCCCAATAGTTTATCTTTGCTTTTATTTCCTTTGCTTCAGGAGCTGTATCTAGAAAAATGTTCTATGGCTGATGTCAGAGAAATTATGGCCTGTGTTCTCTTCTAAAATTTTTATGGTTTCACATTTAGGTCTTTAATCCATTTTGAGCTTATTTTTGTGTATGATGTAAGAAAGTAGTCCAAGATCATTCATTTGTATGTAGCTGTTCAGTTTTCCTAATACCATTTGTTGAAGAGACTGTCTTTTTCCCATTGCACATTCTCACCTCTTTTGTCAAAGATTAATTGACCTTATAACTGTGGGTTTGTTTCTGGGCTTTCTACACTGTTCCATTGATCTATGTGTCTATTTTTGTGCCAGTACCATACTCTTTTGATTACTACAGCTTTGTGGTATAGCTTGAAATCTTGAATTGTGATACCTGCAGTTTTGTTTTGTTTTGTTTTGTTTTGTTTTTTTTCATGATTGCTTTGGGTATTCAGGGCTTTTTGTGGTTCCAGATAAATTTTATAATTTTTTCTTCTAGTTCTATGAAAAATACTCTTGATATTTTGATAAGGATTGCATTAAATGTGTAGATTGCTTTGGGTAGTTCATACATTTTAACAATATTTGTTCTTCCAACCCAAGAGCAGGGAATGTCTTTCCGTTTCTTTGTGTCATCTTCAATTTCTTTCATCAATATTTTATAGTTTTCAGAGTACAGGTCTTTCACCTCTTTAGATAAGTTTATTCCTAGGTATTTTATTATTTTTGGTGCAATCATAAATAGGACTGTTTCCTTAATTTCTCTGTCTGCTACTTCATTATTAGTGTATAGGAATGCTACTGATTTCTAGGTATTGATTTTGTATCCTACAACTTTACTGAATTTATTACTGGTAATAGTTTTTTGTTGTTGTTTTGTTTTGTTGTTTGAGTCCTTAGGGTTTTCTTTTTTTTTTTTTTTAAGTTTATTCAGTTATTATTTCTGAGAGAGAGAGAGAGAGAGAGAGAGAGAGAGCAAGCACAAGTGGGGGTTGGGGAGAGAGAGAGGGAAACACAGAATTGAAACAGGCTCCAGGCTCTGAACTGTCAGCATAGAACCCAATGCAGGGTTTGAAGTCACAAACCAGGAGATCATGACCTGAGCTGAAGTCAGATGCTCAACTGACTGAGCCACCCAGGCACCCCCTTAGTGTTTTCTATATATAGTATCATGTCATATGCAAATAGTGATAGTTTAATTTCGTCCTTACCTATATAGATGCCTCATTTCTTTTTCTTCTCTGATTGCTGAGGCTAGTACTTCCAGTATTATGTTCAATAAAGTGGTGAGAGTGGACATATTTGTCTTGTTCCTGATCTTACAGGAAAAACTTACAGTTTTTCACTATTGAATATAATGTTCACTATGGGCTTTTCATATACATCCTTTATCATATTGAGGTATGTTCCCTCTGAACTTTGTTGAGACGTGCCTGGGTGGCTCAGTTGGTTAAGTGTCCAACCCTTGGTTTCGGCTCAGGTCATGATCTCACAGCTTCATGGGTTTGAGCCCTGCATTAGACTCTGTGCTGACAGTGTGGAGTCTGCTTAGGATTCTCTGTCTCCCTCTCTCTGCCCCTCCTTTACTCATGCTGTCTCTGTCTCTCGCAAAATAAATAAACTTAAAAAAAAAAAAACCCATTTTGTTGAGAATTATGAACAGATGTTTGATTTGTCAATAAACTGAATATTAATATATTCCCCCTTCTTATTCTTATAGGACATTAATATGCAACTGGCTGACATACTGTTCAATGTGCAGCGAATAATCAATCACTACACTGTTGATGAGAATGTGCACTCTGGAAGGAAAATCTCCCTTCCAGAACATAAGAAATGGAGAATAAATTTCCTGGATAAAATAGTTACTTATGTTAAGAACAGTGAAATTAGAGAAAAGACTCTTTTGCACATCCTGGTCTGGTTGGAAGAATGGAGTAAGTTTTCAGAAGTGGTTCAAAGGAAAACCATGAAGTTAATGAAAAAGAGAACAGGATCTATAAGTAAATTTTAAAGGGTTAATCAGACTACCTTTAAAAGAAGACTAAAGAGGTTATTCAGAGAATTACTGTCCACTGTTTCAGTAAGAATAAAGTAAGCACTATGTAGTCTTGCTTACTTAGTGCCAGCTATTCTGGGCTCCTTGCTTCTCTTCAAGCATGCCAGTATGCCTCTGCCCAGTGTCTTTATGCTTACTATTCCTTTGCCTGGAACACTGTCCACAAGTAGCCATGTGGCTCATTTTCTGCTTATATCTCACTTTAAAATGATGTGTTCTCTGACCATCTCCATTCCCTACTCCCTGGCACTGTCCATTCCTCTTTATTTTTTATTTTTGTCTGTAGCATTTCTTATGATCTGCCATACTATATAATTAATGTTTATATTTTTGTGTTTTGTGTGTCTCCTTTCACTAGAATGCAAGCAGTATGAAGTCAGGGAACTTGTTTTATTCAGTGTTGTATCCTCAACATCTAGAACAATACATGACAAAGGAGACATTTGGTTGAATGAAAGAATGAATAAGCTAAGAATACAAAAAGAATAATTTCATTAAGTTGCAAGAAATCTCATATAATGAAGGTTTTAAAATACTAGACAACTTATGAAAGGAGTTGAGGTTTAGTTCCTCAATATTAAAACACATGTTCACATTTTAGTTACCAGAGTATTTTCATGTCCAAGATTTACTGTTCAGCTTTCTATTCCAAGCCTCATCCTTCTTCATTTCTTCATAGAGAAAAGCCTCAGAAGAGCAATCAGTGTGAGACACCTATATTCCTCAATACTATAGTATGAAGTAGTTAGCCAATATTATAAGCCTATATGATTATAATAATTTTTCTGCACAAAAATAATTTTCTTTTGCTCTCTTCAAGATGCCATTTTGTCTGAGATGACTGCAATTGATATTGAGGAACACCATCACTGGAGAGCAAAAATGGAGTTTTTACCGGAAATGTACAAAGCTATTGAGAGCAATGTCAAGATACTGAGTAGAATTAGTGTATCTTTATTTGAAGAAAAGAAGAGACAAAAGAAAAAAATGAGTAAGGGTGCTTTAAGACATTGGAAACAGATTTGACTTTTTCTAAAAAATGGCTTTATTAAAGTAAAAGTTACATACCATAAAACTCACATATGTTAAATGTAAAATTCAATGATTTTTGTAAATTCAGAGTTGTGTAGCTATCACCACAATATTTTATTTTATTTTATTTTATTTTATTTTATTTTATTTTATTTTATTTTAT